GAGGCCACGCTGAGTCCGAGACCGAGTCGCCTGCGGCTGGCCTGTCATTAGCGCCCGGGTCGGCGGGACTAGGAGGACCCGGCCGGAGCCCGCTGGGAAAGCTGTGCCTAGCGACAGGAAAGACCTGCGCCAGCCCTGGATTCCAGCTGTGGGGAGAGGGCTTCGGGGATCCGACTGGTACTGGACACCCCCCCCGATCCCCCGCAGGGAGCCCCGCGCGGACTCACTCTATGATGTCCCTGTCGGTGCGGCCGCAGCGCCGCCTGCTCAGCGCCCGGGTCAGTAGGAGCCAGTCCTTCGCAGGCGTCCTCGGCAGCCACGAGCGGGGGCCCAGGTACGCGGCCTCGCAGGGTTGGTGGGGTCAAAGGGCGTCAGATGGGGCTGGGATTGGGCGTTAGTGAGGATCTGGGGGTGCGTAGTGAGGGTCTGGGGGGACTTCTGCTCTCCTCTTTCTGAGGACAGCCTCTCCTTCAGGAGCTTCCCGGTCTTCAGCCCGCCGGGGCCCCCACGGAAGCCCCCCGCGCTCTCCCGAGTGTCCAGGATGTTTTCCGTGGCTCATCCAGCTGCCAAGGTGCCGCAACCCGAGCGGCTGGACCTGGTGTATGCGGCGCTGAAGCGGGGCCTGACGTGAGCAGCTCCTCTCTTCCCAGGCCTGTCCCGGGATCCCTCCCCAAGTCCGCCTCCTGCTAGCGGGAACCTTCTCCAGCCCCATGCCCTCTCCCTGCTGTCTGCACCCTGGGCAGCATGAGGCTGGAGAACCGAGTTCATTCTTGTGGTCACCCCTTTCCTCAGGGCCTACTTGGAAGTGCACCAGCAGGAGCAGGAGAAACTCCAGGGGCAGATAAGGGAGTCCAAGAGGAATTCCCGCTTGGTGAGTGGCGGGAGGTAGGGATGCCCTTTGCCTCTTTGGTGTGGAGGGCTGGGCAATGCCAGCCCTGGGTGATATCTGGGTTATTTTCTGAAGTGATCTGGTTCAGGTGTGAGTAGAAAAGGGGATATCAAGAAAGGCTGAGGGCTTTTCTATCCCCAAACTTTGCTGTGCATACTTTCTGCTTGGGGCTCAGTACCTGCTCCAGGAGCTTCCAGTGGGGTAGGTGGGACCCCTACAGACACGGACAGCAGGAGATTCTGCTGCCATTGGTATTGAGCAGTGGTACTGCTGCATGGTGCTTCTTGGGAAGATGGGCTTCCCGGAGGAGGGAACACTTCTGCTGGGTCTTGATGGGAGTTCCCCTGCAGAGGGAACCTTGCCCAAGGAAGCACAGAGCTCTCTCCAGGGCCCTGCAGGAAAAGGAATACCAGGGAAGAGGTGTGGGGAGAGGTCCTGGAGGGGGTTGAAGGGACCAGATCTGTGCTACCAGCATCCACCAAGGGCTAGGCCAGCATGAAGGGGCATCAGTTGCTACTGTGATGGGAGTGCTTGTGGACTGTGGTGTGAGAGAGGGGAGCTGTGATGAGTCTGAGTGCCTCTGCTGGAGTCCTCCTCATCCCTCCTAAATATTTGCCCCTTCTCCCCACTCCCTGCAGGGCTTCCTGTATGATCTGGACAAGGTGAGTATGCTTGGAATGGTACTGGAAGGGGTTGGCTCACAGGGAGGGTAAGGGCCCTGGGCCTCAGGCCCCTCCTGACCCACCTCTTCTCCAGCAAGTCAAGTCCATTGAACGCTTCCTGCGACGACTGGAGTTCCATGCCAGCAAGGTACGAGTGCAGCATGTGTGCAGGGTGGGTGGGGGGTTGGATATCATAGGGAGAAGAGGGGCAGTGCCAGGCCCAGGGTTAGCAACCCCAAAGGTGAGTAAACCCAGAGGTGAGTCTCAGTCCCCCTACTGTCACGCCACTCACCTTCCCAGATCGATGAGCTGTATGAGGCATACTGTGTCCAGCGGCGTCTCCGGGATGGTGCCTACAACATGGTCCGTGCCTACACCACTGGGTCCCCGGGGAGCCGAGAGGCCCGGGACAGCCTAGCAGAGGCCACTCGGGGGCATCGCGAGTACACGGAGGTGAGGGATGGGTGCCCACAAAGCAGAGGCACAGGGTGTGGCAGGGCTAGTGGCTGGCTCTTGACCCCCTCCTGTCCCTGCCCCTCCCTCCCAGAGCATGTGTCTGCTGGAGAGCGAGCTGGAGGCACAGCTGGGCGAGTTTCATCTCCGAATGAAAGGTACTGAGTTGTGGGGGCAGGCGGGGGGCCGGAGGGAGTATGCTGAAGACCCCCAATATGGCTCACCAACTTCTCCCCTTCTCCACCAACTCCCAGGGCTGGCTGGCTTTGCCAGGCTGTGTGTAGGCGATCAATATGAGGTATGAGAATGTACAGGGAAAGGCTGGGTTGGTAGGGTCCCAACACCTAGGCTGCCTCATCCTGCCTGTTCCCCCAGATCTGCATGAAATATGGGCGTCAGCGCTGGAAACTACGGGGCCGAATTGAGGGTAGTGGAAAGCAGGTGTGGGACAGTGAAGAAACCATCTTTCTCCCACTGCTCACGGAATTTCTGTCTATCAAGGTGATGTCTCTGCCCAGGACAACAGGCCACCATGGTCCTGTGAACCCCTTGTGACCCCCATTACCCTGAGTCCCTTACTCCTGTAATCCCCTCATGGCTCCATAGCCCTGGGAAGATATCCCACGACCTTCATGATCTCTGTGGCCCTGAGAGGAACAATCTTTGTGACTCTTAGGACATCATGGCCTCCTGACCCTGTGACCTCCTCATGATCTTCTGACCCTGTGAATATTTGGCCTCCTAAGCTCCCATGAGGCTGTGACCTCCATGACCTCAGTGACCCTACCATGCAGACCTCTGTGATTCCCCTGCTCCCAGGCTGCTTCAAGCATCAATGGCTCCATGAGCATCTATCTATCTATCTATCTATCTATCTATCTATCTATCTATCTATCTATCTAAGAGATGGCAGGTCTCACTCTGTCACCCAGGCTGGAGTGCAGCAGTGCAATCATACCTCACTGCAGCCTCAAACTCCTGGGCTCAACCCATCTTCCCACTTCAGCCTCCCAAGTAGCTGGGACTACAGGTGCACCACCATGCCTGGCTGAATTTTTTTTTGAGACAGTCTTGCCATGTTGCCCAGGCTGGTTTTGAACTCCTGGCCTTAAGTGATCCTCCCGCCTCAGCCTCCCATGACCATTTTATAAGTTCTATGCAAATTCAGACCTCAGATTGCCCATGATCTCATAGCCCCTGCACCCTTGTGACCCCACCATACACTCTTGGCTACAGGTGACAGAACTGAAGGGCCTGGCCAACCATGTGGTTGTGGGCAGTGTCTCCTGTGAGACCAAGGACCTGTTTGCCGCCCTGCCCCAGGTTGTGGCTGTGGATATCAATGACCTTGGCACCATCAAGCTCAGCCTGGAAGTCACATGGAGGTTGGTGGGGCTGAGGGGCTTGGGGGAGGGCCAGGAGGGCTGTGGCACCTGCCAACAGCCTCTTCCCTTCCCAGCCCCTTCGACAAGGATGACCAGCCCTCAGCCGCTGCTTCTGTCAACAAGGCCTCCACAGTCACCAAGCGCTTCTCCACCTATAGCCAGAGCCCACCGGACACACCCTCACTTCGGGAACAGGCCTTCTATGTGAGTCATAGCCCAGGTCCAGGCCTTGCCATCCCCCAGAGGCTCCCTGGGGGTGGTTCTGACACGCCCTTTCCTCTTTCTCAGAACATGCTGCGACGGCAGGAGGAGCTGGAGAATGGGACAGCATGGTCCCTGTCATCCGAATCTTCAGACGACTCATCCAGCCCACAGCTCTCAGGCACTGCCCGCCACTCATCAGCCCCTAGGCCCCTGGTGCAGCAGCCTGAACTCCTTCCCATCCAAGTTGCCTTCCGTAGGCCTGAGACCCCCAGCTCTGGTCCCCTGGATGAGGAGGGGGCCGTGGCCCCAGTCCTGGCAAATGGGCATGCACCCTACAGTCGGACTCTTAGCCACATCAGTGAGGCTAGTGTAGACGCTGCCTTGGCTGAGGCTTCAGTGGAGGCCATTGGCCCAGAAAGCCTAGCCTGGGGACCTAGCCCACCTACACACCCAGCTCCCACCCATGGAGAGCACCCCAGCCCTGTTCCTCCGACCCTGGACCCTGGCCACTCTGCCACAAGCTCCACCCTCGGTACAACAGGCTCTGTCCCCACATCTACAGACCCTGCCCCATCTGCACACCTAGACTCAGTTCATAAGGCCACAGACTCTGGCCCTTCAGAACTGCCAGGCCCCACTCACACCACTACAGGCTCCACCTGTAGTGCCATTCAAAGCCCCCTCACTCACACTACTACAGGCTCCACCCACAAGCCCATAATCTCTACCCTTACTACTACAGGCCCTACCGTCAATATCATAGGCCCAGTCCAGACTACCACAAGCCACACCCATACCATACCAAGCCCCACCCATACCCCCACAAGTCCCACCCATAAAACCAGGATGTCAACTCCTACCACTATCAGTCCCACCCATACCCCCACAAGTCCCACCCATAAAACCAGGATGTCACCTCCCACCACTACAAGTCCTAACCCCAGTGCTATGGGCCTAGTCCAGACTGCCACAAGCCCCACCCTTATAAATGTAAGTCCTTCTACTTCTCCAGAACTTGCTACCCTCTCCAGCCCCTCCAAACACTCAGACCCCACCCTCCCAGCCACCGACTCCCTTCCCTGTAGTCCCCCAGCCTCCAATTCCTGCACTCAGGCAGACCCTATAGCCCCCAGCACCTCCCACCCAAGTCCTGCCCATTCCAGTAGGAAACCCCTCACAAGCCCTGCCCCAGATCCCCCAGAGTCTATGGTTCAGAGTCTAAGCCCCACTCCCTCACCCCCAACCCCTGCACCCCAGCATTCAGACCTTAGCCTGGCCATGGCTGTCCAGACCCCAGTCCCAGGGGCAGCCGGAGGGTCTGGGGACAAGATCCTGGAGGAGGCACTGGGGGCCCTAATGGCTGCCCTGGATGACTACCGTGGCCAGTTTCCTGAGCTGCAGGGCCTGGAGCAGGAGGTGACCCGACTAGAGAGTCTGCTCATGGTAAGGAGGGCTGGGCTGGGCTAGGGCAACCAGGGAGGGCAGCCAGGGGGTGGCAGCTGCTCTGACGCCCTTCACAACCTCAGCAGAGACAAGGTCTGACTCGCAGCCGGGCCTCCAGTCTCAGCATCACTGTGGAGCATGCCTTGGAGAGCTTCAGCTTCCTCAATGAAGACGAAGATGAAGACAATGATGTTCCTGGGGACAGGTGAGGGGGCTAGGCAAGATGGGTGTGAGGCTCAGTGAGAGGGAAAAGGTGAGGTAGGACCAGGGGAAGGTGGAACAGGTGAATTGGGAGAAAGTCAAAGGGGAGGACAGGTGAGGCAGGGTCAGGTGGAGCACATGAGGACTGAGTTGCTGGCAGGTGCACCTGTGTCCACCCCTCCCATGTCCTTCATGCACATGTCTCCAACCCTACGTATGCCCCCAGTGCTTCTGACTGCCCTCCTCATCTCTGCAATGTCTGCCTCCTCTTCCAGGCCCCATCAGCTTGGGTGCCTCCAGCCCCTCCTCTTCCCCTTGGCCTCACCTTGGACCTGCCCTTTGAAGAAGCTCTCTCAATGCCTCGCAGTTCACCCTGGGACCCCAGCACTGCCCCACTCCTTCTTGACCCCAACTCTCCCAGAGGCCCTCGCCCCTCAACTGTCAGTCCCGGAGTGGCCTTTGCTGGTTCCCAGTTGAGAGTTGTGCCAGGTCCCTCCTCCCTCTGCTGTTGCCCAGGCTACAGCACCATGCCCTGCACCCTTTGCAGTCCATTTGTCATAAACCATCCCGCCTGCAGCCTCCTCCTACCCATGCCATCCCCAGTGGTCCCAGCTGGAGGTAGCATGGAGCAGACTGACTCCAGAAATCCCTTCTACCACCAGCTGATCCCAGCCCCTTCCTCCTTCTAGAAATCCTCCACGAACTTACCCCACTGTCTGCTGTCAGTGCATCATCATCTTCCTTTCTGGGATGGGGGAAGCTTAATAAAAATAAACGCTGGTGACCAGGTGGTGATGTGTGCCTCCTGGTGACCAGGTGGTGATGTATGCCTCTAGGGTGGTTGACCCCATTTTTCCCTCAGGCCTCCAAGCAGCCCAGAGGCTGGGGCTGAGGACAGCATAGACTCACCCAGTGCCCGCCCCCTCAGCACGGGGTGTCCAGCTCTGGACGCTGCCTTGGTCCGGCACCTGTACCACTGCAGTCGCCTCCTGCTGGTGAGGCTGATGGTGTTCCCCCACCCTTCCCTTGTAACCCCTAACCCCAGGGAGTCCTGTCCTTCAATCCTGGTCCTCTATACCTCCTCTGAGTGCCACACCCAGTGCCCCAGGGCCCTTGCTGAGTGGAGTATCTTCCAACTCTGTAGCCCCAACCTCCCCCAATGGGGAGGGACTTGTCCCTGAGCACGATCCTCCCAAGCCCTACCCTGATGCCTGAGCTACTTGGCCATCCATATTCTCCAGAAACTGGGCACATTTGGGCCTCTGCGATGCCAGGAGGCATGGGCCCTGGAGCGGCTGCTGCGGGAAGCCCGAGTGCTGGAGGCAGTATGCGAGTTCAGCAGGCGGTGGGAGATCCCGGCCAGCTCTGCCCAAGAAGGTAAAGGCCCAGTGGGTTGGGGCTCTGCCATCTGCCTTGAAGCTCCTACCTCAGCCTACCACCATTTGCATGCTCTCTACTCACCCGCCTGGTCTATTGCTGACAGTTTCCCTCACGCCCTCACAGTGGTGCAGTTCTCGGCCTCTCGGCCTGGCTTCTTGACCTTCTGGGACCAGTGCACAGAGAGACTCAGCTGCTTCCTCTGCCCAGTGGAGCGGGTGCTTCTCACCTTCTGCAACCAGTATGGTGCCCGCCTCTCCCTGCGCCAGCCAGGCTTGGCTGAGGCTGGTGAGTGGGCTGCCTCCTCCTTCCACCCTTGCTCAGATTCCCAGTGACAGGAAGCTCGGGGAAGCCAGGTCAGTCCACGCAGAACTGGGCACCAAGGAGACCAGCAAAGACTTGGGCCTTAAAGCAGAAGGACCCAGATGGGTGGGGTTTGAACAGAGGGCCCCTAGACCTGAGCCTGGGATAGGAGCATCTCTCCCCTCTAAAAACCTGTGTTCACCCAAACTCTGAGGCCCATGCTATTGCCTCCTGCAGTTTGTGTGAAGTTCCTGGAGGATGCCCTGGGGCAGAAGCTGCCCAGAAGGCCCCAGCCAGGGCCTGGAGAGCAGCTCACGGTCTTCCAGTTCTGGAGTTTTGTGGAAACCTTGGACAGCCCCACCATGGAGGCCTACGTGACCGAGACTGCCGAGGAGGGTGAGGCGGTGGCCCTGATCACAAAGTGGCCTGACTCTTTGGATCTGAGGACATGAGTCCACCCTCGGGAGCTCCTCACCCTGCCACCTTGCCCATCCACCCACCATATCCCCTTTTTTCAGTGCTACTGGTGCGGAATCTGAACTCAGATGACCAGGCTGTTGTGCTGAAGGCCCTGAGATTGGCGCCCGAGGGGCGTCTGCGAAGGGATGGGCTGCGGGCCCTCAGCTCCCTGCTCGTCCATGGCAACAACAAGGTGATGGCTGCTGTCAGCACCCAGCTCCGGAGCCTGTCACTGGGCCCTGCCTTCCGGGAGAGGGTGAGTCGGACAGGGCTCCCTTGAGGGCGAGGACTGGAGTCCTGGGCTCCCAGCATCTGGCTAAGTCTGTCCTCCCACCCTTCCACAGGCCCTCCTGTGCTTTCTGGACCAGCTGGAGGATGAGGACGTGCAGACTCGAGTGGCTGGCTGCCTGGCCCTAGGCTGCATCAAGGTGACCCCTGCCAACCCTCCCACCCTTCTGTCCCCTTCCGGCACCCCCACCCCTGAGCCCCTCCCATCTGCTCCCCTGGGCCCACCTCAATGCTCCCTCCCCTGACAGGCTCCCGAGGGCATTGAGCCCCTGGTGTACCTCTGCCAAACTGACACAGAAGCTGTGAGGGAAGCTGCCCGGCAGAGCCTACAGCAGTGTGGTGAGGCTGGGGGGTAGGAGAGATGGGTGGAGTTCTGGAACATCTTGGCTGATGGGGCTAGGAGAGATGGCGCCAGGGGTGGGAGAGTGGGATGGGGCTAGGGCCACCCCTGACGCCATCCTCACTCATTACAGGAGAAGAGGGACAGTCTGCCCATCGACGGCTAGAGGAGTCCCTGGACGCCCTGCCCCGCATCTTTGGGCCTGGCAGCATGGCGAGCACAGCATTCTAAACTATTCACCCACGGGTTCCTGGCGCCCCTTCCCTGTACTTTCAGGGCTCACCAGGCACTGGCAGGGAGGGTAAGGGCTGGCTCCAGATACCCCTCCCCCACAGATTCCTAGCAATGCAAATCTAATATATTCTTCTGTTGCCCCTGGGGTTGGAGAGTCAGTGCCTGCAGTCAAGTGCCTCCCAGCCTAGGCTCAGCACATCCCTTGCCACAAATCAGTGTCCAGGGCTTGGCCACCCTGCCTCTGCCCAGCCACATCCCTTGATTTTGTATTTTATTTACAGAGTTTTACAGAAAATAAAAAAGCAAAATGCCTTTCCTACATGGCCTGGTACACTCCTGATCCTCTGCTCCAACACCCTCTGGCTGCGGCCCTGCCTGACACTGGTGTGTCCACACTGCAGCTGTGACAGTGCCATGTGCACTTGCCCTGGAAATCCAGGTGGAAGAAAGCCCAGAGACTGGAACTGGGCTTGGAGAAGAGAGCAGGGGAAAAGGGTGGTTCAGCCGACAGGTGGGGCCTACCCTGGGCCTGGGAACTATGGCCCAAGGTGGAGCTAAACTGGAGTTGGCCCAGGAAACACCAAAGGGTGCCAATCCCAGGCTGTGGCCTGGGAGCAAAGGGGAAGGGAAAGGAAAAACAGGAAGGGAAAGGAGGCACGGGGTGGCTGGAGCTTCTGCCCACCAGGGGGCAGCAGATCTGCATCAGCAGATGCCAGGTTTGGGTCTTCTGCAGCTTGGGCAGCTTTCTGCAGAGGGGGCTGAAGGAGCTCCTTGAGGCTGGGTGGCAGGGGAGAGGAGCTCCTTGCAGAGGGGAAGAGCTGGGACCTGGGAGGCAGAAGAGCTGGATGGCTACCCTGTGACCCAAGACAGCAAGTCCCCTCCCCAGCTGTCTCCCCCTCTGTAATAACAAACCTGCCTGAACTCTGTGATCCCCAACAGCCAGCCAACCTGTGCTGCTTCAGGAAGCAGAGATCCCAGGGGAGGGCTTGCCTTTGCCCTGCCTCACCTCGCCCCAGAGCTGCCTGGCCAGTGAATGTGTTAACCCCAGAAGGCTGAGTCCTGTGTGAGGAACTGGAGGGTGGGGAGGGACTTCAGGATGGCAGGACTGTTCTAAGGAGGGGCTGAGGGAGGCCCACACCCGTGGCTAGAGAAACAGGCTCTCCACCCTTTCCCTCTCCCTCAGCACTTCCAGTATCCAGGGGCAAGGAGATGATGCACAGGCAGCACCTCCCCAACTCACTGAGGCCACTCTGATGTCCCAGTGCTTGTGGCAGCAGCTTGGCCTGTGCAGGACATGTCACGTTGGGGAGCCTGCCCCTCAGGAAGAGCCAGTGAAGTGCCAACAGTCCCCTGGAGGGTGACCCAGATCCCCGGGGAGCCCTGCCCCCAAGTGTTTTAGAGCTAGATATGAAGAGGTTTGGCTGGGGCCTTAACCACCTGCTGGGGAAGCCAAGCTGAGCAGAAAAAACGGCAACAGGAAGGAGCACAGGAAACACCTGTGTGGATGCAGGTGGCTCATTCCAGATGCTAGGGCGAGGGTGGGCAGGGGCAGGCAGGCAGCCCTCTGTACACTGGCGCAGCTCTTTGCTCCCTGGGTAACGAAGGATGGCACGGGATGGTGCAGCTCAGTATTTGGGGTGGTCAGCTGGAGCAGCATGGGGCAGAGGAGGCAAACAAATGATGGAGACCAGCCAGCACCCAAGGCTGGCCACAGCTGGGGCCTGCCCCAGAGGTCCATGCAGGAGGTCGGCAATCCCAGAACTGCCCCTAGCAGCCCTCAGTCCTGAGGACCCCACAGAGGCCTTCTTGTGGTACAGCAGGGCTGTCCACCTGCATCAAAAGCATAGCCTGTCATGGGGGGAAAGAGGAAGTGAACAGTGGTTGACCAGGTCCTGGGAAAGTGCAGATTGGGGTGACTGAGCCAGCACAAGCTCACAGCTCAGTACACAGGAGAGGGCAGGGCTTGGGCAAGAAATGGAGGATGGAAAAATGTCATCATCCCAGCCAAGGGGTCCACTGGGGTTGTCACTGAGAATCCCTGCTCTCCAATGCTGGGAAGGGACAGACCCCTGACTCTCTGTGCTCTGCAAGTCCTGAGGCCAGAGCCTGATATTCAGCTCTAGCCAGGGGTGGGTGTGAGGATCGGAAGGGGACAGGAGCTGGAATGAGGGCACTGTGAGCACAGCCAGGTGAAGCCCATGATGCCTATCTGACTCAGAGCAGCATGGATCAACCCCAAAACAGCCACTCGGCCTCTCTCCATCAGTGGCTTGAAGGCAGGCTGGATGGCCTCCTATACCCAGGCCCATGCCCAGGTTCCTCAGATGGTAGAGGGGCAGGGAGAACCCTTGTCCTCCCACCTCTATATCTCTCCTGACGCCCTCTGCCTCACAGGGGACTCCCACAGGGCAAACCTGCCCATTGCACTCTCCCGCCCCCTGCCCTGCTGTCATGTGGGTCAGGGAAGCACATGTTCCTGCTGTCTGGGACTGAGGAGAGTTGGGAGCCCCCTGCCCCAGGTGATGGGCGGTTGATGATACCATCACGAGTCAAAGGTATCAGGGCAGGGAAAGCCTCTGCCTAGCCTCTGAGGGGACAGATGGAAGTGGGCCTCCAAGGCCTGTGACACACTGAGAAGTGCCCTATCAGTTAAGTCCATTGAGGCCACAGTCATGTCTTGGCCATCATCTCTGAGACTGCCCAGAGGAAAGTGATCCACGCACACTGCAAAACAGGGGCCAGGCTGAAGTAGTCCATGATACAGTTTATTGTGTTGGCAGTCGATGGAGTGTACCCTCTACTCCCCTCTTTCCTCTTGCCCTCTCCCAACCTTACCTTTCCTCCTGTCTCTCACTCTTCTTCCTCATGTATTCCAAGCTGCAGGGGACCAAAAAAGAAAGAAAAACGGCACATTTGTGAAGGCAAAGAAGCAGATGGGTTAGCACGTGGGAAGAGGACTGCTGCTTTGTCTCGCCCACAGAGCGGGGGTGCCTTCCCTGTATGTTTCTGTGCCTGGTATGTGGGTACAATTTGCTGAACCCCAGACATATGACATGACCCTCCTTTTCCTCCATACCCCCCTCCCCATCCCAAACACTCCTGGAGTGTCCCCTTCAGGCCATCCATCTCCCATGGACAGAAGGCTCTTGGCTTGGCTGCAAGGCCTGGCTTTTCTGGGCCTGGGTAATACAGGAGGGTGAGCTTGGGAAGGACTCCCAAGCCTCATATAAACTGCTAATGAAGCACAATCTATCATTTAGAAAATAAGACTGACATTGGCCTACGAGAAAGGGGTCTCTTGTTTCAGAAGATTGATGGCAGTTGGGTGATGGCCACTACTCTGAGTTTAATGTCAAGGGTCAAGTCTCACTTGTCTCACTTGTCTCCAGATACACACAGGGCATATGGACACTCAGTGAATGCTGACTGAGAGCAGCTGAATTGCTATATGCAACACCTAGATTTCTAGCTGTCTCCTCTTAATCTCCTTACAACCTTCTCCTCCTCCTCAGGCATGTCTTAAACATCACCTCACAGGATTCCATCCTAGGCCCTTTTCTCCTCTCTCAAAACACACCCCTAGATGATCTCCCCATTCCACTGACTTCCATCCACATGCTGAGGCTGCATGCCAATCATTCACGTGGTTCTTACCTTGCTTCCAGACCCCCACATCCGACTGCTCACGGGACACTTCCTTTTGAACATCTGGGGCATTTCAAACTCAACATGCTCAAAATCAGACTCAATATCTTCTCAAAACTTGTTTCTCCTCCAACAGCTCTAGGGGTTACCAATTACCCAGGTATCCAAGCCATACAACAGAGCCTCACCCTTCCTCTTTCCTCTGTACCCACATCCTAGCCATCAGAATCCTCCCAATTAAATGCCCTAAATATATATATATTTTATATCGAGTCTTGTGCTGTTGCCCAGGCTGAGTGCCGTTGTGTGATCTCGGCTCACTGTAATTTCTGCCTCCCGGGTTCAAGCGATTCTTGTGCCTCAGCCTCTGGAGTTGCTGGGATTACAGATGCCTGCCACCACGCCCAGCTAATTTTTGTATTTTTAGTAGAGACGACATTTCACCTTGTTGGCCAGGCTGGTCTCTAACTCCTAATCCCAAGTGACCCACCCGCCTCAGCCTCCCAAAGTGCTGGGATTACAGGTGTGAGTCACGGCACCTGGCCCATGTATTTCTTTAGGAAGCTGCATGCCCACCTGCTCTTGTCACAGGAGCCTGCATTTTCCCTTCTGTAAGACTAATCACACTTCATTGCAATTGCTTACTTTTTTTATTTTTTTGAGATGGAGTTTCACTCTTGTTGTCCAGGCTGGAGTGCAATGGCACGATCTCAGCTCACCGCAACCTCCGCCTCCTGAGTTCAAGTGATTCTCCTGCCTCAGCCTCCCGAGTAGCTGGGATTACAGGCATATGCCATCATACCTGGCTAATTTTGTATTTTTAGTAGAGACGGGGTTTCTCCATATTGGTCAGGCTAGTCTCGAACTCCTTACCTCAGGTGATCCAACCACCTCAGCCTCCCAAAGTGTTGGGATTACAGGCGTGAGCCACTGCACCTGGCCTGCAATTGCTTATTTAGTTTGTACCCTCTGGAACATACATTCGTAATATACGCTGACAATTTTACTGGGTAACCACCCAGGTCTGAGGTGGGTGCCTTCCCTCTGGAACTTGGTCCAAGTGTTTTGTTTTGTTTTTGAGACGCGGTCTTGCTCTGTTGTCCTTGCTGGAGTGCAGTGGTATGATCATAGCTCACCGTAACTTTGAACTCGTGGGCTCAAGGGATCCTTCTGCCTCAGCCTACCAAGTAGCTGGGACTATAGCCACACGCCACTATGCCCTGCTAAAGAGGGGGTCTCGCTATGTTGCCCAGGCTGGCTTCAAGTGATCCTTCCACCTTGGCCTTCTAAAGTGCTGGGATCACAGGTATGAGCCATCACACCCAGCCTTTTTTTTTTTTTAACAGCTCCTTTTGAGATTTAGTGCACAACCATGCAATTCAACCATTTAAAGTATACAATTTGGCCAGGTGCAGTGGCTCATGTCTGTAATCCCATCACTTTTGGAGGCCAAGGCAGGTGGATCACCTGAGGTCAGGAGTTCCAGACCAGCCTGGCCAACATGGTGAAACCCCATGTTGTCTCTACTTAAAAAATACAAAAATTAGCTGGGCATGGTAGCAGATGCTTCTAATCCCAGCTACTTGGGAAGCTGAGGCAGAAGAATCTCTTGAACCTGGGAGGCAGAGGTTGCAGTGAGTTAGATCATGCTACTGCACTCCAACCTAGATGACA